CAGGATTTAAGACCACGAAAGACCTGAACAAGAAAAAGTGCATCAAGGTGATGTCTCTGTTTATGTAAAGATTGCAGACTTAATTTCTCTAAAGCATAAGCATAATTATATGAAATATGAGGGAAATAACGATAAAAAGAGACGGACGCAAACTTCTGCTGGATGCGCTCAAGCTTATTGGCATCAGTCGAGGTGATGGAGTTCCAAACTACTGAGGCATATTCCAACTTGGACCTGACTAAAGTAAAATATAGTACATACAGACTCTCCATGGAGGAAAACCTGTAGGTAATGGAGCAAATAAGGCCTAAAAGCTTTATGCATTCAGAAAATATGTAATTAAGGTGTGTGTGAAAATGTAACTTTGAATCAAAGAAAACACCCAGGTCCTTAATACTGCTAGTGCGTGTAATGATATCATGACAAAGCTGATACTCGTATCTCAGAAAATTTGTTTTTTTGGTGTATGATACAACATGCGTTTTAGCAATATTAAGTTTCATGGAGTTAGCAGTGCACCAGTCACTTACAGAATTAATGTCAGATTGAAGTAAGAGGGAATCATGAGGATAGTTAATAATGTGGAGAATTTTTAGATCATCGGCAAAAATTAGAAATTTACAGTAGTTAACAGAGTCGCATAGGTTATTTATAAATACATTGAAAAGAAAAGTCCCCAGAACAGAGCCTTGCGGCACCCCCGGATGTTACATGAAAAGGCAGGGAGAGAGTGCCAGAAACACGAACCCTGGATTGTCTGTTGGTTAAGTAACTGCGAAACCAGCTAACATAAGCATCAGAGAATCCGAAGGAGCTTAATTTATGCAAGAGCATATTATGAGGAACGAGGTCAAAAGCATTAGAAAGATCAAAATAGACGGCATCAGCTTGACGCTGACCGCGGACAACAGGCGTCAAGAAGTCGAGAAACGTCACCAAATTGGTAACTGTAGATTTAGTTCTGGTACAGCCATGTTGGTTGGAATTAAATTTAGCAAAATGAGAAACATGGTCATGAATAATGAATTTAAACAATTTAGAGAAATTACTGATAACAGAAATAGGCCTGTAGTTGCTCACAGCGGCATGATTGCCTCTTTTAAATACCGGCACAACAGCAGATTCTTTCCATGCAGCAGGAAAATACT